CGATGAGGCTGTTGTGCTTTCCTCGCCGCCGCTCGTCGAAATCCCTGTCACCGACGAGGTCCATATGAGGGTGTGCGATAACGGAGTGGTGGCCTCTCAGCCGGACACCGGCGAAATGCCAGTAGTTGAAACGACCATGCCTGCGGCGTCACGGAAAGCCGAGGCATCTTTCCTTCAACGCAGCAGTTCAGTCAGCGCCGGGTCGTCGTCGGTGGCGCGGCGATACCATCGCAGGCGGATGTTCTCGGTGTCGAAGGTCGAGCCGGAGACGGCGTCCTGCAGCGCCGTTGTTTCGAAGCCTGTGGATACGTCGTCACGGGCTTTTAGCACCGCCTGCAGATCAAGTTGGGTCAGTGCTCAGCACCAGCAGAGTCGAGATGGAGAACTAGAAGCGGCAGTGAAACAGGTTGTGAAAGACTTGGTTAACTTCTGTACATACGATGTCGATGGCGTCGCTTTCTTGCGTTCGACCTCCGTCGATAAACTTGTGCCGACTGCTGGCCGAAATTCAGTTGACGGCGAAATCCGGGATTTGATTGAGGATCTCGTTCGCTTCTGTGAATTCGAAACGCGTCAGCTCTCTCATGATGAGGTTATTAATCCGCAGCAAAAATCAAAGAATTTTTCTAGCCTTGTGACTCCTGTTGTAGATGACGAAAACGTCAAAGGAGTTCATCAGGTCGCACAGGAACTTATTAATGGCATTTTGAAACGTGTCGCCTTCCGTTTGGATAAAGTGAGAAATAATTCATCTGTGGTGTATTACTTGTGATTTTGTTTCTGGTTTACCGTTATTGTTGTTTTCTGATGATTCTGATTTTGCACTTCGGTTTTTATATAAAAACCATGCTAAATAAATTATGGGATACTGTAAATAATTTCAGCCTTTTTTTATAAGATTCTCTTGTTTCAATAGTATTGTCCATTTTGATTTTAGATGTTCATATTAATCGGTCGTCTACAACCATGTGAATTTACGTGCAATTGTCACTCAGTTTAAACTGATGTAAGCCTTAAATATTCTGTGATATTTTATCCAACGCATGTTCTTTCTCTGCATTTTCACTGATTAATGCAATACGTGTTACGGTTGTCTTCTCGTAGATAAGCCATTTTATTTTTCTTCTGTACGAAGCATGTTCTGATGTC